GCGCATACCCTCTATACACGCATTTGACAAGCAGATTTTCTCTCATTTTTTTTCTGTTTGCTTTCACTTTAGACATAACCAACTTTGTTTATGTAAACCTTGTGTGTATTTGACAATATTAGCGCAATAAGACTCGAAAGATAACTTATAACGTAGTCCAGTAAACAGACGCTGTTAGACAGGCTTTTAGTGCCCGTGTGCTTCGGGTGTATGCGCTCAGAAAGCACACGTCAGAACAGCGCATCAGCACGTGAATTACATGTTTAACCAGCAAGGCTTTAAAGCACATGCAAATAATGAACTTCTGTGAACTGCAGTGTCCCGTTCCTCTGCGTTAACATTTGTTGTATGATGTTGAGACGGAGCTCGGCGCCAGAACTGCAACTGATAAAATGCACGATACTACGATATTTCTTCAAAAGCAGATCGTGGAGACATTTTAATCGTCCACGATCAAAAACCGTGATATCGCACACCCCTACCAGGAACTACAGGAATATAAATAGATTCATAATCTCCATCTGCTGTTAGTTGGCTTACCAGCAGGTGGTGCAAGCGGCTGTTGACGAAGACAACGGGTGAGAGAGTTCATTCATTCATAAAAACAGATTTACAGAAATGGAGCAAGGTAAGTATTTGTGATGACTATTAGGGCCAGTAGCTACTGTATATATATGGAAAAGCTGATAAAGACACAAAAGCTGTGTTTACATTTAAGTCTGCATGGTTACTTTTGTACATGCAAGCAGCTTTCTCTACAGTGAACGAGATTATAACGTTATTCCCGATACTGACGTACAAATCAAATGTTAAATCTGAGGTAGTAGATACAGAATATATTTCTCTCGGTTGTTCAGTTTCCTTAACTTTATATCACAGCTCTGTTCCCTGGTTCCCTCGGGATTCCCCTGCTGCCAGGACTCATAATGTAGCTCAATAGACTAATACAGTGATATAAAAGGCCAAACTCGCACCTTATTGGGAATTATAGGCTATACTATATAGGAGTTTTAACATATTATACGTCACATGACCAAAAGTGCTGTTTTCCTGAATACCATCATGATTGAAAACGTGACTGCTTTCATACAAATGTTCAATCGTTTAGAAAGTTTTTTTATTTTTTTTTATTTAAACATGTCAAAGCTGACAGAACACTGATGAAAATATTGCTTCAGGATAAATTATATTTAGACAAAAATTCCCCCCAAAATTCCGGAAAAGCAACTTTTTTACTCAGACAAGTAAATGACCGATTTACTTCTTTTAAATAAATGTTAACTTTAAAGCAGCCTACTTCAAGTGTGATATGTTACCATACACTGAGAATTTGAATAATTGTAATGTGATGATCAGGTGCAGATATCCATAATAGAAAATATCATAGGTTCGAGCAGTTGGATTATTTATTTTTAACAGTGGATTCGTATGACGTTAGAGCTGATCTGTCGCATCTATAGCGCATGAGCCCTAGAGTTCCCTTTAAAGTTCAAGTACAAGTCAATGTACAAGACTTTTTCTTTGCACACTGAACATGGGTTGGAGCTCTTAATTTTGAACTCTCAAAGTGCACCAGATTAATGAATTCTAAAAATCCTGTGGGAAACAGTATATGATAGTCTTCGACAAAAATAAAAATCTAATTATCTTATTAAAATACTTGCTTGTAAAAAGTGTTTTCTTCAGCCATGATCAGGATTTTACCACCTCTACCTCGTTTTGAGCCAGGAAAAACCCTGAATTCTCTATGGCCACCACCTACAAAACCATTCCCTTTTTGGGGGTTGTCTTGCTGTTGCCTCTCCAGTGCACTTGTCACTTTCATTTGCACCAAAGCAAGTGAAACTGATTCACTATCACTTATGCTTCCTAACTGGACAGATTGATATCCCTGAAGTTTAATTGACGGTGTTATACTGTGATGATTAAAGGGATACTCCACCCAAAAATGAAAATTCTGTCATTTACTCACCCTCAAGTTGTTGCAAACTTGTATGAGTTTCTTTCTTCTGCTGAACACAAAGGAAGATATTTTGAAGAACGATTGGAACTTTGGCACTATTGACTTCCATAGTATTTTTTTTTTCTACTATGGAAGTCAATGGTGCCAAACAACTGTTTGGTTCCAATCGTTCTTCAAAATATCTTCCTTTGTGTTCAGCAGAAGTAAGAAACTCATACAGGTTTGCAACAACTTGAGGGTAAGTAAATGATGACAGAATTTTCATTTTTGGGTGGAGTATCCCTTTAAGAGTTCCATTAAATTTTTTTTGAGCAGTGTATCTCTGATAATAAAGTCTATCTTCTGGCATCAAAACCCCAATACTTTGAGAGGGATTTTTTCACAGAGGCGGAGACAAAGCCATGACAGTACGGCCATTGTCGTTCCTGTTTTACCCTACAAGCGCCAATCCGGAAGCCAGAAACACGCAAGTGTCAAAAAGGCCTTTTATTATTGATAACATAATTTAGTGAGAACATGTAATTGTAATGAGCATATTGCGCAAGTTTTGAGGAATTTTCTAATTTGTGTCTATTTTACATATGCAAGTAGAAATCAGATTCATGGTCCAGGCCCCAGACCTCTCTTGGCTGCATTACTGTTCTTCCTCACTTTGACAAATTATTTCAGATATTTCAAAGGGCCTTACAGCCAAATACAGCAAAATAATTTTTCATCAAAGTGTAACATGGTGAGTAACATGGTTTTGACAAATGGGGGGGGGGGGGGGGGGGGTCAGTGGAGTGGCCATGGCCCCCACTTGGAGGCACAACTGCTTGGGCAGTTTATAAGGAAGATGGCTAAGAAAGTAGTTCTACACACAAGAGCATTTTAAGTACAAAAACTTTAGAAAAATTAGTTTTGCAGTGTGGAAACTTAATTATAAGCAGAATAATTTATGCTGGACTATTGATTTATTGACACTTTGCGTCACGGCTGAAATACCACCTTGGGTGTGCATTATTTTTCAATAATTCAATGTTCCTTTGAGCAATAATAGCTTCATCAGCCCATTCACAGATGCCTACAATGAAAAAAAGATTATTGAGCAATTGACCTTTCGCCGGCCCCTCCCCCAAAACGGCCATTGTCCATTCACACATCATAGCAACCGTTACTATGTGAGCAGGTCCGTCAAACATTGACTCCAAGCAAGATGGTGAAGCGGTGCGCCCACGGCGTTTGTAAATCGGACACTAGGTACCCCGAGAGATTGTCTGGAGGAGTTGTGTTCTTTCCGTTTCCAAAGCCGAAAACACAACGTGAGCGGTGCCTACAATGGATAAAACAGTGTGGACGGCCCCACTCCCATTGAAATGTGTCGAACATGGTTAACTCGCGTGCAGCGTGCGTGAGACTGAGACACTGAGATTAGTCAAAGAAACATGGAGAAAGCAGATCAAGAGGATCCACAAAGGAATTACGTTTTCTAAAGGGTTGTTGTTAACATGATATTCTCGGGGGGAAATGAGCAGCAGTCAACTAGCAGTGCAGCACCTGTAGACTACAGTTTAGAGGAGTGCACGTTCGCAACGGGGAAAGCATGAAGCTTACTTGACAACATCAGTTCATATATCAATATCGTAACGAATAGAAATAACCTTAAATAATGTATGGTTATCTGCATCTTTCCATCTCTTATGTATAGTTACTTTTTAAACACGAAAACCGCATTCAGCATGACACGCAAGCGGTTGCCGTGGTAATGAACAACCTGCTTGTTAAAGCGAATGTATAATCCTGTATCTGAGGCAAAATTACTAAATATGCAGCGCGAGTTATATATTTCTAACTCCAAACAATTAGCCACTGAACCAGCTAATAAAATCTTCTTCAAGGCTGTGCTGGTTGCATTTGAGGTACAGGTCATGGGTTTCTCAGATTTCGCTTGAGACCGGTAAGCATTAGCCTCGATAGTAGTCGTGTCTCCTTCATTGCGTATTTTTATATTTTGAATATATCCCTCCACTGTAACCCCTTTTGCCTCGATCTGGAGGATATCGCTGAGGTATTGCTCCGAAAAAGGTCACTGACTACGTTTACATGCAGCCAATAACCCGTTCAAAACCGGGATATTAGCAATAACCCGGTCGAGCACGGCCATGTAAACACCTGCAAAACCCCGAATATGCTTATATCCCGGATTTTAAAAACCGGGATATGATACCTGGGGTACCCCTTTTCTAACCCGAATTTTTGGTCATGTAAACGCGCATCGGCATATCCCCATAGTGATTTGTGTTCTGCGCATGTTCTATTCGCAAGGAATCTTGGTCTTTTGAGTAGAGGAACTTCTCGGCGCATACAAAAACCTGCGTGCAGTATACCGGAAGTAAACATGGCGAGACGCAGCACAGCTTACTTTTGGAGCGAGGTCAGTACCAGCACCAAAGCGCAAACAAAGGCGATCGCTATCTGCCCCGAACTATTCATTATCCGCGTGCTGCTGCTGTTGTTGTTGTCTTTGGATACAGGAAGAAGAATCGAAAATGACGCATATTGCGTCTTAAGGTTGTCCGTACGTCTTGACGTTAACCGTGCGTCACCGTTTACATCGGGATATTGCAATTCCATGTATACAGGAGAAATTCTCTCTGCTCACGCATGTAAACGGGTTATTCCTAATGTTTCAGAAACCCGAATAGTGACCTTAACCCTACCATAACCCGAAAATTGGCTGCATGTAAATGTAGTCACTGACACGCACGGTTATACCTCTTCCCGTCATGGCAATCTGTCGCGCTGGTCGTGTTTGACCATTTGTTTGACGGGCGTAGTAAAAATAACTAGGGGGCGTGGCTTTTGCGAACGGTCAATTATAGCTTCATCAGCCCATTCACAGATGCCTACAATGAAAAAAAGATCATTATCATTAAATTACTTAAAGAAAGTTTAAAAATGTTTATTGTTATTTTTTAGTTACAATGGATATACACATTAATACCATGAGTATTTCTAAATCTATACAGTATTTGTATATTTTCTTACCTTGGTGTGATTACAAATAGTAATTAGCTTGTGATGTTTCTCAAATGTAAGTTGCTTTGACAGGACCTGTTTCTGTATTTGAACTTAGCCCTATATAAACAAGATGTTAATGAACTTGAAACATATCTACTTACATGGCTTTACCCACTAACTCCCATTATAGTTCCACACTTGACTCCTGGGGAGTTACAGACAAGAAAACATTCAGGTATAGGCTAAAAACCATCCCTCCAACCCCTGCTCACCCCGAATACTCCTAGTGACGTTCATGAAATATACCACCAGTAACACAAATTCACATTACTGGTATTTTAATAGTTAATTATATTCTATTTTCTGTTTTCTAACAAAATTATTGTGATTGAAGTTCAGTTCACTCAAAAAGGTAAATTCCCATCCTAGTACTGTGAAGATTTCATGTGGTTTCCTCTTGTCATGGATCAGTTAAGAGTCGAGATCAAATCTAGCGGTTGTAAAACTGCGAGGAGACCCAGGCCAGACCCCACTTCAGGTTAGTGAGCATGAACTTGAGGGCTTTGGTCCACTGTTCCTCTGAGTTAAACTGAGTCTTAATAGAGTAAGAACCTCCACTGCCACCTGTGTCCTCAATCTTTCCTTTGTCCACATCCATTCTAAATACAGAAGACAAACATAAAGTGTTTGGAAAATCATGCTCTTAGATGATAAGAGTTTTAAAACTGTGTTGCTAAAGTCATAGATATTGGTACATAACACTGAACATCTCAAAATCACCAAATATTGGCAGATTAATAGGTCTTAGCAAAAAATGACTATCAATGACATTCACTTTCAATGATTAATTAATAGCCTGATAGAAGGTCATTTTGAGATTATCAATGTTCCCAACAACCATCCTCGCTTGGCTGATTAAAGGTAGCTTTCCCTTGTACTAGATACAATTATTTCTTCCAACAGCCTGGTGATCTATAATTACATTTTTTTTAATATAAATTTGTCTTCTGGACATTATTACCTGTATGGCAGACAGAAGCCTGTGTCACCCTTCTCCACCTCCTCTTTAAACTGCTGGACACAGTCAAGGAAGGCCACCATTGCATGGTCAAATTTATTATCCCAGAAAAAGCGCAGACCACCTGAGCAATACAATGGCAACTCCTACAACAGGAAACAGAAGCAAAAATGTGCTGATGATGTGACTTGTACATTTCCTCAAAGTCATTTTTAAAGGACAGTGTCTTCCTGATAATTAAATTAATCCCACTAAGAAATGCAAATAACTTTTCATGTACATTTGTTTTACTTTGGCTTTTTAGTTTTTAACTTTCAAGAAATGTACAGTAGTTTTGGCAAATTGGTTGATGGTCTATGCTCACAAGAGATGAAGGCTCCAGTCTTATCACTATTCTAGAATAAAAACTTTTTTTCTACACAAAAGGCCCAGCTAAAAATTACTCGCTGTAGTAATGTGAAAAGTACCAATATTTTGGTATCAAATTGATACAAAATATTAGACTAAAAAGATATAACCATCCCGTCTTTCTGTATGCAACAAGAAAGCTATACATCAGTTCTCTGGGCCCGAGCTCATCTCAGATGATTCAAAACACAGTGTAATTGTGTTCTGCGGTCAGATGAGTCCACGTTTCAGCTTGTTTTGGGGGGAAAAAACAGGCATTGAGTTCTCAGTCCCAAAGACGAAAGGGACCATCCAGACTTTCATCAGCGACAGGTGCAAAAGCAAACGTCTTTCATGGTATGAGGGTGCATAAGTGCAAACGGCATGGGTGACTTGCATGTGTACCACTAACGTTGAGGCATATATTGGGAATGTCATCAAGATGACATCTTTCCTGGAAAGCAAAACAATGCCAGGCCTCATTCAGCATGTGCTACACCAGAGTGGTTTTGTAGACACAAGTGTGTGAGTGGATGTGCGACTGCCTACCTGTAGTCCAGATCTGTCTCCTACTAAAAATGTATGGCCTATACATGAAAAGTAAATCAGACAATGACAACCACAGACTGTTGATTGTCTTGTATCAGGCGAGATTGGGCAAAAAATCCACTTGCAAAACCGTAACAATTAGTATCCTTAATTCCCAAACTATTAAAGTGTAATTAAAAGGAAAGGTGATGTGACAGTTGTAAACATGCCTCTGTCCCAACTTTTTATGAGTGTGTTGCAGCCACCAAAAATCACAAATTTGTTTATATTTACAAAATACAATTAAGCTGAAAACATTGGAAATCTTTTCTTTGTACTTTTGTCAGGTAAATAAAATTGAAAGGGAATTAACAAATCACAGATTCTTGATTTTATTACATTTAACAAAATGTCCCAACTTTTCTTGATTTGGGGTTGTAGCTTAATGTTCCCAACGTTACTCCTCGGAATTGCATTTTTACTAGTAATAATTAAATTAGAGAGCTCTACAATTAAATTCTTACTAGTAAAAATTCCAATTAGAAAGCTCTACAAATAGTAACCATTACAATTGGAGAGCTCTCTAATTCAATTATTACTAGTAACAATTACAATTAGTAAGCACTCTAATTAAATTTTTACTAGTAAAAAAAAAACACATTAAAGATACAATGGAATAAATATATAATTGGAATTGCAGAGCTTTGTTATTTAATTAGAGTACTTAATACTTATTATGTTTAGCATTGCAAAGGTTTTATTTGCATTGTCAACTCACAAAATAATGCTGAGACAATTTGGGCTAGAGGTGTGCGATATCATCTATGATAATATTATTGTGGTTTTAACGATATACGAGCTGACGTTATCGAACATATAATATAGTTATGTATTATCACATAGCAAGAGTGCCGTTTTATATTCGTGCATAAGCACGATCACGAATGTTATATTGATTTTATAGTTCAACAAACAAGAAGTTAATATTGAGTGAATTGATTTGCATTTCAGTGAGTGAAATAAGTAGGCCTATTTGATCCCCAAGCAAAACATAATTTAGTACTTGGTGGAGAAACCCTTGTTGGCAAGCACAGAGGTAAGATGTTTCTTGTAGTTTGTCACCAGGTTTGCACACATCTCAGGAGGGATTTTGGTCCATTCCTCTTTACAGATCCTCTTTAAATCCTTAAGGTTTCTTGGATGTCGAATCCGACATAATGAGGGCTGTGTTAGGCTGTGGATAATACAATGCTTCCTGACATTTTGACAGAAAAAACACAAGCAAGAACAAAATTTAAACTTAGCCCGTCAAATTTCATTTTACAATTATCTTCTCTCTGTGTGCGCGGTCTGTGTTTGAGAGAGAGAGAGAGCTCGCGCAGCTCTGATACAACGGTGCTTTTTAATCCATGTAACGACTACGAGAATGAACCAAACACAATTGAAGCTTTTAGGTGATTGTTCATACATAATCACACAAAAGAGGCTTCACATTCCAGATTCAAATCACCAAACCCAGAACCATAAATCACCCACAGGCTCCAGAGAGTCTGCAACCATAAAGACTTTTTATTGTTTAACTAAAGGAAGAACGTTGTCAACGTTTTATAAGTTGGCAAGACAGATCTGTTCAGAAATGGTGAAACAAGAGGCCCTAACAAGAGGTCACCTGACCCCTGCGACTAACAGACTACGTCTTTCTTAAGGACCAAGGTCCCATGAGAGATGAACAAAACAGACTTCAGCAGGAACTATCCATGACCTCAGACTGGAATGGCTTAAACCCCATAAACTTTACACACTAACACACTTTACATATCAAAATCCATAAAACCCATCCCAGAACAATTCTCGATGGACTTATAATCAAACATCATGCAACTACATAATTCTATGTTGTTTCTACAATATATGTGTGTGTCTAATATGCTTAGATGCCATACAATTCATAATTGTTATAAATATTAGGTGTGTGAATGAAAGTGTGTCGTGCTTCCTGTCAGCAGGATCGTATGTTCTTAATTCAAAAGATGGCTTGATTGAAATCTGTGTAAAATGTTTTGTATTCTTATAATAGTAATACTGTCTAAACTGTGGCCTCTTGTTCTCTCTGCTAGTGCTGGAGAGCAAGGAGATCACAGATAACGCATGATTTATGATAAGAAGAAAATAGAGCCACCTCCTAAATTAAGCCAGTGTCTAATTGGCCAGAACTCATCCTGGAGGTTGGACAAACTTTGAGTTTAAAATCTTAGACCCGAACACAGAAGCGGCGGGCTCTCTCTCGGAAAAAGTCTCGGCAGAACAAGTCGGGTGGAGCAGACGATGGTTATAGTAACCATGTAGATGCATAGAGACAAATGACCCAAATCAAGATCAGGGTTTAAAACAGCTTCATTCAAGCCATCTAACTCGTCTCACTTTCCTTTCTTTTCCTTTGTTTTCTTTTCCGTTAAAAGTCTCGGTTCTAAGTTAAGTTTTGCTGCAAAGTTTCGTTTAAACGTTTCGACTGCAACGCGCTTCCAACTTCAAAGACTTTCATCCATCCGCAAACACACCACGTGATTGGCTGCCCAAGATCTAGCAGGCACGAGGAGACCGCCAGCCAAGCAACGGACCCGGGAAACCCCTTTACACCGACAAAAGGGAATCCCCAAAGCAAACCAAAGACAAGCAAGTAGCCTTCAGACTCTTAACTGAACTGGTGCATTAATATAAAATTGAATAACCTGCCTAAGAAACGATAGAAGGGTTAAATCGATGATTGATGGTTCGTTCAGGTCATGTCTTTTAAGTGCATATAGAAACTTGGGATCTCACCATCTGACTCCTAAAACTCATTCTTCCTCACTCTCTTTCTTTCTGCAACTCGTATGAATGTGTGTGTGTTTGATATTAGTTTTATGTGTTAGTCATAGGCTTATAATCAAAGTATTGTTTGTATTTGAAAAGAGAAGCATTACTTGTGTTATGCGCTTACGAATTTATTGTCTTGAACTGCGATCTAAGCTACCTATGCTTTTACCCTTGAATTATTTCTTAATTTAGCTGTTAGCTGGGAATGAGTCTTTCTTGGCCAGGAAGATATTATATTTCCTAGAATTAATAATTGTTTATGCTTTCCGTTCATTGGATGAACTGATAAAATGATCATACTATTGATTCTGCTACAGTAAATTCTGAAAATAATTAAATTATTAATTATTGATCATAATCCGTTATGAATAATTAGTTATATTTATACGGGCGTATAAACGCTACATCCATAAGTAGCCTAACCTATACGCTCTAGTTTTCATACAAAATAAAAATGTAACATAATTGGGTACTTTATTATTAACACAATAACGTAACATATGCAGGCTACATTTCACAACAATAAGAATGAATAAATAAACGCCTGTTTCTCCAGACTCGCGCTTATCAGTCATCCACAAATCACAGCACTTTCATAATCAGTAAGCCATAGCGATTTAAATTTTATTTAGATTTATTGTTCAACATTACTTGAGAATTGTATCATTTGCATGGCTGAATGATGTCTTCCTCTTATATGAGTAACGAATGAATGACGGAGTATTTTAAGATAATCCATACGATCACTCCCGTGTGATAATCGAATCCTCAATACAATATTTCAAATTTCCACATCCACCCGGCCCGTTTATCTTCAGGAGTCAGAAGTACCGTGACTACTGTCCTCGCTTAAATCAGTCAGACGGCGGGAGTGGAAGGGGGATCGAGCGGGATTCTTTATTGCTGTCGATTTTCAGTCTCTTTTTAATGATAGGCCTGACTGTCAATCCCCGCTATCCTATTGCGTGCAGAGGGAATTTGAAAGACAACCGTTTATCCTGTAGTTTGCAAAAAAATAATACCTCGTAAATTGGAGATTAATACTTTTTAATAGCTTTTAAATGGCCTTAATTTTTACTAATTTGATTAACTACCTTTTAATACTTTTTAAAACCCCGCGGACACCCTGAGTAATTACTTGTTCAAAATATGTACAAACTCAAGAGAGTATGCGATTTTGGATGCAGCCTGTCATTTGCTTTGTTCCTAAACGAATCAACCTTTTTGAACAAATCATTTGAATGAATGTTCAATAAATCACTCATTAACCCTCTGGGGTCGGCGGTATCGCCGGCGATACCAGCTGACTTTTTTCCTTATCATTGCAAAAGAGACTCAAATTACTCTGCTGATTTTGATCTTACATATAAGTGTT